GAAGAGTCTGAGCAGTCTTACGGACATTTATTTAATATGAACATCTTGAGATTCTTCTTACTGGCTGGACGCCGTCTTCAGAAAGTCTTCATCTGTCTGACGGAAAGTGTCCAGGAGACATTTCTTGATCAGCTTGTCCACGTTCTCCGTTTCCCCTGAAAGAGACGACACGTGTGATTCGGCTCCCACAGCAGGAAGAAAGACCCCAAACAAAGAAGTTCTAATAACCTTCACAGCAGAGCAGCTGGATTTTAATTTAAAAACTCACCGCTGGGGAACTTCTTCGCCAGATTTTGGTGAAGATGCTCTGCAGCGAATCGAGACGCTCGCGCTCCTCCGTGACCGTCGAACACGGCGAAGTACGAAACACGAGACCTGCGAGACACACAGAGAGAAACGCGTCAGAGACACGCCCTCCCTCTCACAGGTGACGACTTCCTGTTTGGAGGACGTACACTTGTCCCGGCAGGGCGGACAGACAGCCGCTCATGTCCGGCAGCAGCACGTGGGCGTCCTGCATCTCCTCCCGCTCGCCACGCCTCGCCGCCACGTAGCCCCTCAGCACCGGGATGCCTGGGTGACAACACACACACGTCATTCACACGCTCTTCATCTCTACGGGCGCTATTTCCATCGACTCGGCGTCTACGAGCTTTAAATAGAGCAAAAAAGAAGCAAACAAACATTGTGGTGGAAGAGCTGAAAACCTTCTTTGCAAACTTTCTTGATCTCCCCTCGCTCTTCCTCTTTTTCATCAGCGCGACGCTCGCCATCCTCTCGCTTCCGTTTTAATCTTTTCTCCTCTTCTTCTTTTTCTTCTTCTTCTATTTCTTTGGTGGACTGTGGTCGAGCCGCTGCAACTGGACCTGAGGAGGAATCAAACCAAACACAGAGAGCAAGGAAAAACTTTAACAGGGTACGTGACCCTTTAGAAATCCATCACTACACTCTGGGGGGGAAAATCCATTGGACCAATCACTGCTCTGGATCTTATTATTTATGCGTTGGGAAAATTTTGAAATTTTGAGTGGGAAAAACAGATTTAAATATTAATTAATTAATTAATTATTGTATGTGTGCCGAGGCAAAGAAAACAGGAAATAAAAGGATCTAGTGAAGTTTTAATTTGCCTTCTTTAAAAAGAACAAAATACATGACCGAACCTTTACGATGCTCAGACACGAATTTCGCTTGTTACAGCAGCAAAAAGGCAGAAATAAGTTCAGATACATATAGGAAATAAAAAGAATTACATTTAAAATAAAACAAGAATAGAAACTATTCAAAAGCAATTAAACTCAAGCAGTACATACACAGTACCCACGAGCAGTACTTCAACTAATTGTCTGTATAAATAGGAATATCATGTGATGAGTATGAAATATAGCATATAATATTGTATAGTATGAGTATAGTATAATATAAAATTAATATTATATGCATTTGGCATGCATAAAGTTTTTTCTTTTCACACTGTGTTTAATTATAATAATATTATTTATTGTGATATGTATTATACAGAGTACACCAGATACCATATATATCTTATACTATATTACTACTAGTGTTGTAGTCAAGACCAAGAATTTTAGGGGCTGACCGAGTCAAGACCAAGACCAGTGCCCTGCATTACATGGCACGCAATAAAATGTGGAACGAGATCAGAGGTGCTTCTCAAATAGCTCTGAAAGATCCACATTCCCATTAAAACCCCACATACAAACACTAAGAGCTGAAATCAACGTAAGCATCGCACGTGTCGCACGATTCAAAAGAAATTTATTGATATTCCCAAAGTTACGGTCTTGAAATTAAATCCCAAATCCTCAATGTCCGAGACCGAGACAAGACCAAGATCGTGAAAAGGTGGTCTTAAGACCAAGACAGGTGTTGTGCCGAAAACTGATTGCCGTCTGCTGGAGCTGTATTGGAGTCTCTTCAATCACTTTCTGGCAAGTGAAATAGCCTTCTGCATTTTATGGGTTGTATTGGCCATTTAAAGGTATTTTAAGAGGTAAAAAGTACTAAGTGAGCTAATGTTATAATCTGTCAAATATAACTCTTCTGACAGAAATCTACTAATTTCAGGGCAGAAATAACCTTTCAGACAATAACAAAAGGCTTCAATCATTTTCTGGCAAGTGAAATACTGCATTTAATGAGTTGTATTGGGCATTTAAAGGTATTTTAATGATTGGTTGGTAGGCCTACACAGCAAGTAAAATAATGCAGAGTCATAAGGATAATTGCAAAATTGTCTTCATTTTCTATCTAAGTTGGCAGTAAGTCATGTTAATTAGGCTACAGTCCGTTTTCCAAATATAAACAAAGATATTACACATAGGCCTACCAAACATCACTTTTGGGCTATATTACACTGTACAACATTACATTATATATTTTATATCACCTTTAATATCATTACTTAATCATATTATTCTGGTGTTTACCAGACTGGCTGAAACTATTAGTAACTATTCAAATAGTTACTAATAACTAATTCCATTTTACTAGCATCTATTATTTAGATACTAGGACCTATTAATTAGTTACTAGTAATTAATCCAAAAGATACTAGTAACATATTCTCACTAGTTAAATTAAATTAGTTACTAATAACAAATGAAAAGGCCACACATTTACATTTCAAGCGCTAGTATCTAATCAAGCTAGTGAAACAGGAATAGTTAGTAGTGACTAATAAATATAAATAAATAAGTAGAGTTCTTTTGTTCAGTACTACAGTAAATGGACCAGTACGCAGTAATAAGCTGGTGTTACTGGTGCTGAGGACATGTAATCAATACATAATCAATACTAACGTTGTCCCCACTTTGATGTAGGATATCAGATCCAGCTGTCATTAAAATCTAAGCGGTTTTTCATCTGAACTCACCGGAGTTCTGCTTTGGTTCCGGCAGGTCGTCGAACAGGTCCATTCCGCCGGGTTAGCTCAGGTGTTAGCCACCTAGCTGCCGGGGACGAGCTAACGCTAGCTAGCTAGCTACCTGTCCGCACCTGCAACGCTACAGCCAGGCGTGTAAAGTGTCCGAATGGTTCCTGAAACGAGACAAACTCCCCCAACAGGTCGATTTCCGACACTTTATTTACTTAAAATGCGGAAACGCTGAATGTTTGCTTCAGCGGGGACGGCTAGCTTAGCGCTCGCTACTAGCGTCAAGCTAGCGATATAGTCAAAGACTATTTCCGGTCGCATACTTCAAAGCAAAAGCCCGCACACGGAAATAAAGATCAGCCGGATACATATCTGAAAAATAATGTAGCAGTACTCAATATTAACCCTTTCATGCATGAATAATCAAATCACAAAGTAATATTTCATGTTTGTTTTTACTTTGGAACAAGTGAAAATATGCCTATAAAGTTTTTCCCCAATATATTTAATTTTGAAATGTGTCCATGCATCAACGGCATCAAGAGTGATTCAGTGGAACCAAGTGTAGGTCCAACAAACTATCCATACATCCATCATCTACCGCTTAGCCTGCATGCAGGCTGGAGCCAATCCCAGCTGACATCGGGCGAAAGGTGGGGTACACCCTGGACAGGTCGCCAGGTCCACACAGAGACAGACAACCAAGTTAGGGCCGCAGACACGGGGAGAACATGCAAACTCCACACAGAAAGGCCAGGGTTTGAACCCGCAACCTTCTTGCTGTGAGGCCACAGCGCCCCCAAAAAACTATATGTTTTTAAAACATTTACTAAAAGCAAGTCTTATAAATACACATAAAGTTTTTCAAGTGCAATTTATGTATTTAAAACAAAATCATACAAAATAAGGCAGAATAGCCTTTGGCACAGATTGTCCACTGGAGTGGACAGATGTATTTTCAGTCACAGAACAAAATGTACAGGAAATATATACTTAAAATCTGGATAAAAGTATTTCTAACATCTTATTTAGTTAAAAATGTTTGTTTTACTGGTCTGGTTTTCTGACAATAAGAGGATTTTACAGTTATTGCTGCGATACTTGGTGCATCTTCACTTCTCTTCCCTATTTTGAATTTATGATGCAGTATATAAAATGACTTAAACTGATCCGTCCATCATCAACCGCTTATCCTGCGTACAGGGTCGCGAGGGAGATGTAAAATATAATAATCAAACGGAATTGCAGACAACACTTTGGGGTTCGCCACGTGGTGGGTGGAACATGGTATAACTTAAGTGGTCAGCTTTAGTGGACGTCACGCATGAAAGGGTTAAAAACAGTGTGAGACCATATCTTATAATCTTCTTTAATCTTTACATGAAGAAAAACTTCACATAATCATAATCTCATAACATTAAATCTAAGACAGTCATGCTACAATATTTTCAGTCAAAGGCTTTTTTTTGTTTGTGTTTGTAAATTTACATTTATGCAGGTCTAATTTTGACATAAAGGGAATAAAATAATATGGAAAATTAAGTAATTATCTTTCAGAAAGGTAGATTTTCTGTCTCCTCCTGCTTCCTTCCCTTCTTTTTTATTCTAAGAACAAATTAATAGATATTTAAAAAAGAAAGAATGAAGTTTTAAATAAGTAAGTAAAATTAAAAGTAAACAATAACTAATAAATAGTAATGTAGCTAATGAAAAAATGCCTAAAATAAATATTGAGGGTATTTATGTTTAACTGGTTTCTCTTGGTTGTTGGAGAAAATAATTGTTTTCTCATGTTGCTGAGTTAATTTTTTTTAAACGTGTGTGAATTTAATCCAAATTATAACGAGGTTGATAATAAAGTTCGGATGAGCAATAAAAGCGCATCAAACAGAAGATGATTTAATTAAATTACCTAACAACACTGCCTCCTTCCCTTCCTTCCTTGCCTCCTTCCCTTCCTCCTGGGTTCTTATTGGCTCTTCACACGCGCTTCCGCTGTCAGCCAATAGGAGCCGAGAAGCCGCTGTTCTCTGCTCCTATTGGCTGACAGCAGAGCAAAGCCAGAGCCTGGAGTTTACGGCGAACCAGAGAATGAAGTTGGGGAACCAGAAGCACGCGCGATGGATTTTCCTCTGTCGTGATTTTTATTCTATAAACTTCCCTGAAATATTTCTGTTATCCGACTTTCTCTGAGCCCTTTGAACCCAACATGAGGCTGAGTCTCTGGTGCGTTTGCTGGACTCTAACTCTCCACACCGCAGCTCTGCAGGGAGGCGTGCAGCCCGGCCACCGGCACCGGGACGGCGTCCAGACCCGGGTGAGGAAGCAGAGCACCGGCGGTTTGGACGCCGGGAAGCCGGCGGCGGTGAGGGGATCCGGGGAGAAGCTGAACGGGTGAGCCGCAGAAACGTTTAACACACTGCGCTTCTTCTGCTTCTTAAAACAAGAGAAAATAGACAGGAGTCTGGTTGCAGCCGCTGTGAAAACAGCTGGTTTAAACTAAAGCTTCACTCACGGAAAGAAGGAGCTGAGGATAAGTGTTTGTTCCTCAGGAACTAAGTAATGTACTCAATAATGTACTTAAATACAAATAAGAGGTATTTGTACTTTACTTATATTTTCTTTTCATGCCACTTTCTTCTTCTACTCCACCACATCACATATTATCTGACAGCTTAAGTTACTTTACAAAGTAAGATTTCTACACACAAAACACACAAAGTTAAAAAAAAAAAAAAAAAAAAAAAGATGTTGTGTTTTAAATTAAACTCCCCAAAAGTCAAAGGCCTCACTTTTTTATATTGGTGTTAAAAAGTAATGGGGGGACATCAGGGATCAGATTAGGGGGCCTGATGATACACTCGAGACGTGACGATGCAGGAGAACAAGACAAAAAGATTTTTAACAGTAATTGAAGAAACATGAAATGCTGAAATATATGAGGTGCAGACGAGGGGGTCCTCCCCCGGGAAAACTGGATCATGAAACACTTCATTTCCTGCATCTTCTGCTCCAGTCTATGGAGGAAATGGGGAAACGTAACAAAAAACTCAGCTGGCAATTCATACATATAGAAATATAACAGAATATAATGCAGTAATCAGATGCAATTTTTGGACAATGCATGTTTGTTTCTTCTATATTTAAATTGCTTTCTCAAAGCATCTCACATTTCTTGTAGAAAGCTATGATTCGAGAACATTTTTACAAATGCTTTAAAAAAAAGTTACGGGGCCGAAATAAGCTGTTTCAAAATGTGGTGGGGACCCGTCTCCAGCGTCCCAGTGTCCCAGTGTCCCAGCGTCCCCAGCGTCCCCAGCGTCCCCAGCGTCCCAGCGTCCCAGCGTCCCCAGTGTCCCCACTGTAAATGACACCTATATGCCAACAGTTTATACACCTGATTGACACAAATTTAACTGGCAACTATTTCAGTGATCAAAGTTTCGGACTCGGACTTGCCCGTCTCGACTTGGGACTTGTAAAACAACGACTCGGTCGCACCTGTCAGGTGTGTCGGGCTGCACAATGTGTGAAATACCATGTGTGTGTAACCAGCCTCAAGTGCAAATCTGACGGTCAAGTGATGGATGCAGAGTCAACACGCGCTAATCCGAAACCCTGTGAACTGACTGACTGTGTGTGTAAACAGAGCAGGTTTGTGTGAGAGTGTGAAAAGAGGCAGGAGTCTTTCGTCCACTTCAAAGTGCCGTCAGACGCACAAACACACTCTCTGGTCTTGTTGTTCGGACGGCTCTGCTCACACTCATGATGGAGGAGTGAGGCGAGTTCCTCTCAGGACCCCCCCCCCCTTCATTCTTACTGAACCCATAACGTGGCTCATTTCACACCTGCAGCCCCTCGACGTTAATCTCACAAAATGACCTGAAACATTTCAACACTTGTCTGAACTGAAGATTAAAGGATAACTTAAGTATTTTTCAACCTGGACCTCGTTATCCCATGTTTCTGTGTCTTCATATGCTAATTGGAACAACATTTTTTATTTTTATTTTAAACTGCTCCAGTATTAAGTGTAATCAAAGTACATCCACACATGCTTGTTTTTGCCACCAGGAATAACCATTCTCAGTTTAACATGACAAAGGTTGTCAACAAATATTTTTCGTTATTTGTTTTGTTGAAAGAATTAAATGGCAACTTCAGTGTTTTTCAACCTGGATCTTATTTCCCCATGTTTTTGTGTCTGTGACTTGTATATTGAAACTTGTTTTTGCTGCTGACAGGCTCTGATTGTTCTGACAACATTACTGAGAGGATCCCTACACAGACGGACCTTTTTTAAAAAGAGTAAGATCCTTTTTGTTCTACCAGAAACAGTCGCTTTATGGCTCTCGTCAAAGGCACCAGACTCCATTTATAAAAACAGTAATTTTACCTCTTTGGTCTACCACTGCCTCGCTCGGTTACTTTTTGTAATTGTGTGACTTAACCGGTTAAAACACCAAAGTCACACACTAACACAGACAAACAAAAATAAAAAAGTCATAAAATAACGCCAACAAACTAACCGACTGAGGCAGCGGTAGACCAGCAACTCCTGTGTTCTGCCAGGTAAAATTACTGTTTTTGTTAAGGGAGTCTGGTGGCTTTGATGAGAGTCTCTGGTTAAACAAAAAGGATCTTACTTATAAATAATGGTAATAGATTAATTACTTCTACAATCTATCAGTTATCATAACAGTTCATTCATTTTCTGTCAATTAAATGAATGGATCATTTTTATTTCATTTCTTTATGTCCGATCAGTGAATAAGATACAAACAGAAAGCTGTTTGAACTGTTTTAAACTGAAGAGACCAGAGAAGAAGTTTCAGATCAGTTTTATTTTAATCTGACCTGGAATCTGACTTGTGTTCATGATGTGAGTTTCCTCTGTGAGCTTCAGAAGGATCTGTGGGAGAATCAGGAGATGAAAAGTGAACGCCAACAGACGGCTCAGTGTTCCTGCAGGAACATAAAAGGAGGAGGATGTTTTATTTGAAGTAAAAGAAGTTGAGAGCGTAGGCGAGCAGACGCCAGAGAAGAAGAGATCATCTGGGAAGGATTTAAAGGACCAAACCGGATAAATAACACAACCAGCACCAAATAAAAAGCAGTGGTGGAATCTAAGTACATTTACTAAAGTCCTGTATTGGGTTGCACCAACTATGTTTAAGTTCAAACTTCGCCTAGTTTGAATGAATTTCTAGCTTAAGTCAGAGTTTATGTGCTACTAACGTTTTAAGGGTTGCACCAGCTGAAATACGTCCAACGTAGACATAAGTTACAACTTAAATTGAGCTCATTTCGGTTAATGAAGCAAAATGCAGATCACAGACTGGTTAAGTTATGAAGTTATGAATTGAAAATGTAGCGAAATTAAGAGTAAGATTACTAGCCCAAAAAAAATACTGGATTAAAGAGTAAAAATATAAAAAATAAAGGAACGTGAAAAGGCAATGACTTATTTTTATTTATTTTGCAAATTTGCGTTTGCTGCAGGCGCCCCCCCTCACTGCTGTCTGCAGGCTGTAATAACAGCAGCACAGAAGAAGTCTGTAATATTGAGACACTTGGCTGAACCTGCCTCCAGAAACTTTTTTTTTTCTCCCTTAACTTTTCAGCATCTCCTTTGCGTTGTGTCAGATATTTTCTATCGGCCTACACGATTTTTGTCCGTGTTTCAACAGTTTAATTGTGTGTGATTGATTGACTAACCGCTCATAGTAAACCTTCTCGCCTAGCCGAACTCCGAAATCACCAGAGAAAAGTGGGGGGGACAAAACATAGATATAATAATATGATATAATATGACAGGGACATGTATAATGGCTCCTACGCGTATATAAGTTATAATGTTACAATTTCATCTGCCCGTTATACTTGGACACCGTTTAATTACGTCTATGTTGTAACGGTTGTAGCTGTAGATTAAAGTTTCATAGTTATCACCTAATCATAATTATTTGTCCTTGTTTACGTTCCTTTTTGTTGGTGTGTTTTGTTGCTATTTTTAGCCATTAGCCTCTTCAGTATTGCAAAACGTTGAAAGAAAGAGAGACGACAAAACCGTAATAAACTCTGTTAAAAATAGAGCTGTTCACTGATTTTGGTTGGTATGTGTGGTTTGATTAGAATGGACTTTACGCCAGAGTAGCTAAGATGAACCTTGCGTCTCGGTGGTGCAACCAAACATCAACACAGCTTAAGTCTCAAACTAACTAGTTTCAACGTATTGTTTAGTGTGGACTTTGCACCCTAACTTAAGGTAGAACTTGCTGTACTTGTACTTTACTTGAGTATTTCCATTTTATGCTGCTTGTGGATGTGATGTTTTCAGTCGGCCATCTTTCATGTTGCTGTCAGAAGTTATGAGTCTAAATCTTTTATGGTGACCAGCCTAAGGCCTTTTATTGTGGCCGGCCTAAGGCCTTTTATTGTGGCCGGCCTAAGGCCTTTTATTGTGGCCAGCCTAAGGCACACCTGTGCAGTCCCCATGCTGTCTGATCAGCATCTTGATATGTCACACCTGTGAGGTGGATGGATGATCTCTGCAAAGGAGAAGTGCTCACTACTAAGTGCTCACACAGATTTTGACAGATTTGTGGACAATATTTGAGAGAAATAGGCCTTTTGTGCACATAGAGAAAGTCTTAGATCTTTGAGTTCACAAAAACAAAAGTGTTGCGTTTATAATTTTTTTCAGTGTAGATTATATATGTGATGCACTCTGGTCTCTGAGTGAGACCTGGCCATGTGTATACAGCTTCAGTACTGTGTGTTATTGTGAGGGGGGGCCTCCTCTGCTGCTACAATACGACCAGCTCACTGTGAGTAATGATTAAATCCTCTGCAGAGACGTTGTGTCCACACGATGTTTAAAAATCTTCTCTTCTCTCTGTCCTGCGGTCGTGCTTCATGTTGTTGTTGTTGTCCTGTCAAACCTGTTATCAGATCTGATTTCAACAAGTAGTCACAACATTTTAGACCCTGTTTACACGTCAAGCATCAGATATCTGGTAGAGTTCAAGTTATTGCATTTATTTGTACAGAAAACGCGAATCTCACGCAGAGAGAAGAGACTGCATCTGCAGCCTAAGACACGAACTCCAGTGACTCCGCCTGCGTGGCGTTACGGCTGCACCACAGTTTTGTTCTGTCCTCTGCTCGGCGTTAATTTCCACTGGAAGCCTCTCAGAAGCGCAGTATGTAGCCTGCGTTATTGACTTGTTAATTAGTCATTTTTGTGCTGCTTCTACCTCCTTCACAACTCCCTGTGTGTTTCAGTTTTTATTCAATTTTATTTATATAGCGCCAACTCACAACAACAGTTATCTCACAGCGCTTTTCATAAAGAGCAGGTCTAGACCGTACTCTGTGATGCTATTTACAGAAGCCCACCAAGAGCAGCACTAGGAGACAGAGGCAAGGAAAAACTTCCTTTAAGAGGCAGAAACCTCGAAGGCAGCCTACAAAAATATACAGACAGTAAAGGTGATGTTGCTACAGACTGAATGAATAATGGTACAGATATTTATATCTATATATTTATTATAACGTAAATATCTGTACCATTATATAGTAACATTCTTAATGATTATAATAACAATAATAACAATAGGACTAGTAACAATAGTTGTTGCAGCAGAGGGTGTCGAGCAGGAACACGGGGGCAGCAGGTGACCCGCAACCACAGATCCAGACTCCACAGCTCCAGAGCCAGAAACACCTGCAGGAAGTGATAGGAGGAGAGAGGAGAGGGACGAGAAAGCACAAGACTACCAGAAAGGGGAGAAGTTGTGTTAGTAACATGCAATAATGGGATGAGGTTGCATACAGAGGGAGAGAAAGAAGAGGAGAGAGGAGCTCAGTGCATCATGGGAAATCCCCCGGCAGTCCAGGCCTATAGCAGCATAACTAAGGGATGGTTCAGGACTCACCTGAGCCAGCCCTAACTATAAGCTTTATCAAAGAGGAAAGTCTTAAGCCTACTCTTAAATGTGGAGATGGTGTCTGCCTCCTGAACCCAAACTGGAACCTGGTTCCACAGGAGAGGAGCTTGATAGCTGAACGCTCTGGCTCCTAGTCTACTTTTGGAGACTCTAGGAACCACAAGTAACCCTGCATTCTGGGAGCGCAGTGCTCTGGTGGGGTAGTAAGGTACTATGAGCTCTTTAAGATAAGATGGTGCCTGACCATTAAGAGCTTTGTAGGTAAGAAGAATGATTTTAAATTCTATTCTGGATTTTACTGGAAGCCAATGCAAAGAAGCTAAAACAGGAGAAATGTGATCTCTTTTCCTGGTTCCTGTCAGAACACGTGCTGCAGCATTCTGGATCAGCTGAAGAGTCTTAATGGACTTTTTCAAGCAGCCTGATAATAAGGAATTGCAGTAATCCAGCCTAGAAGTAACAAATGCATGGACTAGTTCTTCTGTGGAGAGCCCCCAGCTGCAGTAGTGCACGGATCACAGGTAAAATTCATCCAGCCAGAGGGAAGGATCACCAACTGTTCAGAGCGCCGCTCATGATGGCGACACAACCCGTTGTAGGTGTCAGAGAGGGGATGGGGCGTACAGGGCAGGGACAGGAGATCACGGAGCGACCGGACACGCTGCAGGCGGTCGGTGGTCGTTCCCTCTGGCTGGATGAAACACGATCTGCTGGCATTTCCTCCCGCAAAACCCTCGTTTAAATTCTGCCACCTCCGTTGTGTTTGCTCCTGTTGTCATCTACGCAATAATTCTTAGTAAATCACCCATAACAGGTACGAAAATTGCACGTGCAATATTTTAGAACGCACTCGCACTTTAGTCCTCTTTATTCAGGGTGTTAGTAAATCTGTCCCAAAGTTTATTATTTATTATTAGTTGTCTCCACAGAAACTTCCTGTTTATCGGCCTTGTGCTTGAGGTACTAGCCGATGAGGATTATCTTAAAATGCCACATATCAGCAACGATTAATCAGCCGACCGATTTAATTAATTAATCTCCTCCCAGCTGGTATTGATAAATAAGACCAGAAGAAAATAGCTTGAGTCAAAGAAGATTTCAGGATCATAAATAATCTTGAATTTAAGTTTTTCCTGGAGCCTTCTCTTCTGTGTTTGATGGTGGTTGGATTTTTTTAATCTTCTTACAGATGTTGTGATTCATTAATAGTGCCTTAATCTTTTTGGTAAATAATAAATCTCCCCCTCTCTCTCTGCAGGCCTCATGTTTGTGGCGGTCACTGTTGTGTCGGATGGACTTTGTTGCCCAAAACCAGACGATGCACCAAACGTGAGTACAGACCGCCGTCGCCATCTGTCGTCCCTCTTTGACATAAAGGTAACCACCTCACAGGATTTAATGGGGTTCTCACGCGTCCTGGAAAACCTGGGAAACGCATGGAAAATGAGAGTAAAAAGTAAAATGTCCTGGAAAGTCTTGTGAAAGTTATTTGAACATTCAGTCAAACAACAGACATTGTATAAATGACGATTAAAGCAAAGTAACATTTGTTAAAACACAGCTTTTCGATCTGCACAGATTTTCAGCACACCTGTGTTTTTATCGTCAACCTGTGATCATTTTCAGCTGACGTGTTGCAATAAAACACCGGAGCAGCTGCATATTGAACAGAAAACTGCTGTACTTCCTCAATAAAACTCATCTGGACCATAGAAACATCAGCTGTCTGCTGCTGATTTAACACAGAACCTTTTCCTTTTGGAAGTTATTTCACCATAAAGTCAAATCTAAAATATAAAAGCTTTCACACACGGCTGCAGAGTGTTTAAATACTAATTAAGTGTTATTTCAATGATTTGCACTGAAACGGTTTCATTATTAAAAATATGTTGCACTAAATATTCAGTAACTTCTGTCCATAACAGAAATCAACTACAGGTCCCGTGGTGACGTGTTAAGAAGATGTGATGTAACTCGTATGGAGGCTCATGGGAACTGTAGTATTTAGAGATATTGATTGTACCAAACCTGATTGTCAGCACAGACGACTCTTGTCATTACAGCGTCGATCAGACATGAGCTGCAGATGTATTTTCAATCTGACGCAGGGCTGCAACTATTACTTTTCATTATCGGTTAACCTGCCCATTATTTTGGCAGTGAACTGATTATGAAGGGGGGTTAGTGAAAAACGTAAAAGTTGCAAAACCAGAACCCATTAAATTAACTTTCATGTATAACAAAAGAGTGAAAAGCTGGTATTTGGATGTTTTTGTACTACAAATGACTGAAACAGATTGATTATGAAAGTAGTTGCTGATTAATTTCCTTTTAACGATCGCTGCGGCTCTTATCTGATGTTAAACACAAGAAATGTCTTTAAACAACCCTAGAAATGTGGCTTCTCTGCATGTATGTCGGGTAAGAGTCATATCTCCGCCGCTGTCAGCTCATCAGACGCTCACAGAACTTTTTAGTTTGATCATAAAGCAGTGAATTGTTTTTTGTCGGCCAGTGGGGAACAGGTGTGAACATCCATCCTGAGGCTCTGCAGGTCAGACAGCAGACTTTATACACCGGCATCGGGCTGCGTCACGTCTCGCTGCTTTACAACGCAGATCAAAGTGTCCATCTGCAGAGCTGGATTTATGATCTGCTCACACGATTCACAGGATTCACAGTGACTCTGTACTTTACAGCTACCACGCTGGATCTGAAGTGTGAATGTGGAGGTAATTTAATCCACAGACAGAGTGTCGCACGCTGCGTTCTTCTGTCTGTTCAGCAACAAACATTTTCAGCTATTTAAATCTGCTGTACCTTGTTTTGCTTAAAGGTCCAGTGTGTAATATTTCTGAGGATTTATTGACAGAAATGCAAGATAAGATCCATAACTCTGTTCTCAGTGGTGTGTAAAGACCTGACATAATGAACCGTAATGTTTTTATTACCTTAGAATGAGACATTTCTATCTACAGGCGGGTCCCCGTTTCATGGAGCCACATTGCATTGCCATATTTCTATAGTTGCCGACAATGGACAAACGCAACAGAGCGCATTTCGTCATCACGGTGTTCTTCTTCTGCTTGTATAATTCTGGCAGTGTAGACACACGTCACTACATTGAATGTGTACGAAGAAGATGAAATAATACTACTAATAACTACAACTGCAAGCACTTGTAAGCGGGGTCCAAACCCCTCGGCGCCAGCCGCGCCCCTCGTCCCGCAGAGGCTGTGTGAGTTGACCGGGGCGCCCTGCTATGGCTTCGGGGACCCGTGGTGAATAAACGACCAGAGTTTGAAATTAAAGGGACTTGCGTTTACGGAGATGTAAAATGAATTTTTTCTTTTGAATTTTCCTCATCGTGTCTCCTCTCCTCCCTCCTCTGCTTGTCTCCTTGTCTCCTCCTGTAGCCAGATGTCTTCCTCGTTGCCATAACAACGCGGCGTGCAGGCAGACTAACCGCTGTGTGTGTCGACGAGGTTTCCACGGTTACCGCTGTCAGTTCTCCACGGAGACGTTTCCTGCGGCCGGGCGGTCGCCGACCTCCGTCCGTCCCACCAGCGTCCCACAAACGGCCCCCAAACCTGCTCAACGGCGTGCTACCAGAAGGATGGAAGTCCGTACAGCAGCCGGTTCCGGTCCCGGTTCTGGTCCTGCCGCAATGGAAGCACCGCCCGCCTCCACCAGACCTGCCACAATAACAAAGACCAGCAGCGAACCAGGTGCTTCAGACATGAATCCACCTCCTGCTCAAGCTGAAGGCCACAACAAAGACCAGGATGCTAAGATCCCCGACCCGGGTCCTGTTCCTGGAGATGTTTCCAAGGAGTCTCTACTCCAGGAGGAGAACCGAACCTCCCCAAAGAGTCGGAGAGCCGAGAGGACGGAAACACCCGAGTTTAACGACCTCCAGCCGGGAGACACAGCTGGTGACATTACAGGGTTTAAAACTTCAAACGTACAGTCTGATTCAGAACCAGAGGAAGCCCCGAGGTCTCAGGCCCGGGAAAGACCCACTGAAGGCCCAAATCTTGAGTCTCCTTCCTGGTCTGACACTGAAGGGAAGGCATCGCCAGGTTTAAATGAAAGTCCTAAAACTGATTCAGAGTCTGAGGTGGTGGAAAGATTAATAGCCCCTAAAATCCTGAACCTGGAGTCTAACTCGAGGCCTGAAGTGCATCAAGGACCAAATCCAGAGTTCAGTCCAGTGGAAGCTGTTGTGAGAGGAGAGAAGAAGAAGAAGGAGGTGAAGAAGCAGACGCTGAGGTAAGATAACTCCTCTTTCCTCCATCTCTTATTAATATCTCTCATTATCTCCAATAACAAAAAGTAAAGTACTTATACTTTACTTCTCCATCTTTACATTTATTTGAGAGCTTTAGTTACTATTTAATTATAAGATTTTACATTTTACAAAAGTACAAACTCTGCACTGTGAAAATACTCTGTTAGAAGTAAAACTCCTACTTCAGTAAAAGTGTGAAAGCATAATAAAAGAAAAAGCTTTTTACAAAGTACTAACACCACACTAAAAATACTGTTACAAGTAAAAAATCCTGCATTTGAAAAAGTTACTCCAGTAAAAGTGTGTAAACATAATCAGAAAAAATTACAGTACATGATGATAACACAAGACAGTAAATCTGCAGTTTTCTGTTGAGGCAGCAGGTGGAGCGCTTCACCTGATAATACACACTGTAAGTACTACACTGCAAGCTGTGCTAAAATAATACACTCTACTCCTGTGATGGAAAGTATATTTACTATTCTGAAGAACTTGAACTTCCAATCAATGCATCTTTATACTTCTACTCTGCCACATCTCAGAGGTAAATATTGTTCTTTTTACTTCACTACATTTGTCTGAAAACCACGTATTTGCTGATCTTGAATGTTGGTGATAAACTGTAGGATGAAGTGTGCCTGAAAAATCCTTTCTGATGATAAATAAACTGAATTAAACTTGATTAAAATACCCAGAAGGATATAAAGCAGTAACATACAACATAAATGCAGCAGGAAAATTGATCCACTAACACCAGATATAGATGGATAGAATAGAGAAACACTAACAGGAACCCTTTTCTGCACTTTCATACTGTGAGTACATGTTGCTGATAATGTTTACATACTTTTACTTACATAAAGTTTTGATTGACTTGGACTACTGTTAAAGTAAATGATCTGAGTATTTCTTCCACCGCTGTGTCCCACTATGATGCAAAAAATATTAACCCGTTCTCATCCCATCTCGTCCCATATGGACACTTGGTCAAGACCCCTTGGCGTAGCTTTTTAACGCCCTGGGTACCCTTTAGCGTTGTGTAGGGTTCTGCGGTCAACTTCAAGAGAATAAATATGAGATGTCCAGTAAGACTTTCAAAATAAAACAAGTGGTAAAAGGAGACTAATTATTCTGCTTTTCCAGTCCTATATTGTAGCTCTGTGACACCTGTATGGCAGCTTTGCATGATTCAAAGTAAAAAAAAGAAAAAAAATTCTATCTAATACTGGTTCTTCATGTAGGCCTTCATTTCAGCCTCTGTCTGAAACAAGCTGTAGATGCTCCTGTCTCTTTAAGGCCCCCCCTCTCAAAGCCCACTGTCTTCTGATTGGCCAAGACCTGAAACATGTTACCAGGCTGTTGTTGTCGCTGGGCGGAACAGGCAGACTGAGCGTTGCTGTGCTGTTGCTATGGGAGCACATATATGGAACAGCGTCTCCGTCTGGCTCCGTGTGTCGATGAACGGAGCCGTTGGTAGAAAAAGCAGTTGAAAACGTTCAGAACAGGAGGAAACCTGAGGTTTATGCTCACAGGGATTTCTTTTAAATACTTTAACCTCATTATTTGAAGCTTTGGCCACGTTTAACATGAACATCCAACATTATAACGTTGTAGATATAAGTCACATAATATGGAAAAGTATAACAGGTCTCCTTTTAAACCGCTTGGTTAGGTTTAGGAAACAAAAGGCACCAAAACCGCTTTAACCACTGTTTTCAGATTTTTCTACAGATCTTATACATGCAGGTTTTATGTCCCGGTTACCAGTGAAGGTGATCTTATGGAGATCTGGTCTGATCTTGTTAGTCCCAAATAACCACCACGATTGGACTTGCCTTTAAGGACTTGCGTTACTGCCCAACACAGCCTGTGATTTGGTGTCAGACGCCAAAGGACGTGACAGAGCGTAGCTATTTGACGCCGTGGGACTGAGAATGGGATGAAAACACACGAGGTGTCACAAACTACGCTCAGATGACTTTTTATAAAGCTCTCATGGGCGTCAAGTCTGAGTGACCCAGCTTGACGAAACCCGGTAACGTTTCTGAAAAGGCCAACAGACGGCAAAATGTCCGACTGAAGAGGATTTACGTCCTGCATCAGAGAGTTTGAGTGTTCTGTCAGCATGTGAAACCTGATTTCCCTGAGACTCTCCTCAGTGTTAACAATCAACATAACCCGGAGTCAGAGGTCAAAGGTCGTGGAGGTGAGAGGCCAGCGCCAGGGGTCAGGACAGACTGTGGGAAAACTGACCACAGGGAGCTGATTCTGCAGGGATTCTGGGTAGTGTAGTTTGCTCAAACAGGCTGCAGGATCTCGTGTAAACATTAACATCCTGGTGTTTTACTATGTTTGGGAAACTGGGTGTTTTAATAACACTGACTGCTGATCCGAAGGTTTTTACAGAATCCTCAAAGACTCTACTAACATCTGGAAGAAAAAATATTATATTTTGACCATGTGTTTGGTCACAAACCAACATATTGGACGAGATGAGAAGTCCGGATCCACCAAAGTTGTTCCAGGTCATCCTGAGGGGAACATGAACCTCCTTTTATCACAATCCAACAGTTGTTGGGTAAATGTGGGTTAATTCAATGTCTCTCTTCTGGAGAAATGTACAGCTTAAGTAATATTGTATGCTAGAACATGAGCTACAATATCTCACAGCCCTTCAGTTTTATCTGTCCACCCTGTGTAACTCGTAAAAAGTGACTGTCTCATAACAAACCCGCATCTGTAACGTTTTGAGTTCAGATACACAACAGGAATGAAAAAATAAACTTGCATGAGACCGGCGGGCGTCTCAGAGTGTGTGTTAGTCATCAGTTCTGGACTCCAGAAACAGATCAATCTGCTGCAGCGGTCTGGGCTGCTTTTCGTCACACTATTTACGGCCATTTTAAATCATTTCAGTTCAGACAGAAATAATTCTCAGAAACACTCACAGTTTGTCCTTGAAAAAATATATATATAACCCTCCCACATTACTCTCCATTTTAGAACAATCCTACCAGCCTTTCATGCCAGTCGATAGATTAATCTTCAAATGGCAACAGCAACCGAATGTGCACATGTATTTGGTGGCAGATTCACCATGAAAATGTGTTTTACTTTGTTGTTACAGTATTTGCATTTAAAATCATGTTATTTGCTGGTACTGTGTCCCTGCTGGTTGTCCTCATAATAGACCTGTATTGTCGTTTTTTTTAACGCTATGTGTTACAATTTTTTAACGCTACAATTTTCTGCAGTAATAGACAAAAGCAGCTAGCTAGTTCAGCTAACGTTTGCTTAATTCACAGTCTCTGGCTTTCCAGCTGACTAAAAACAAAACCAGACCTGTTCATGAATAATATCATCCTAACTTTGTCAGTGGTTTTTAAAGCTATGTGGCCAGAAACAATTTTTAACAATAAAATTAGTAGCTAACAAACTTATTTTTGAAATAATAGCTCATTGATTTAGATGAAAGCATCTAGCTAGTTCAGCTAACGTTAGCTTCATGAGTTGGCAAACGCTGTCTCTGGCGGACTTTTTAAAATGTTTCCAGCTGACTTAAAACAAAACAAACCCTTTTGTAAACATGTATGATATCATGCTAGCAGATGAAGGTAAAGCTAAAATAGTACACAGTGGGCGTGCAAGTGGTGAACAAGGCTTTTTTAACATAACCTAACATAACCACGCAAACTAATTGATGCGCCTTGGCTAAGTTAGTTTGGTTATAGCTTAGTTTGCAAGATAACAGGACACTGTTTAATCCATCAATTTTTAAATTTTGCTCTTGTGTGTTTTTGTTTTTTGAAAGACCTAAAGGTTTGGCTTCCTCAACTCATTACCATCGTTGATATTTACTGAAATCCAACACTTCTGCTTTTCATTTGGATTAATGTGTCTCAGAGTAGAAATTTAACATCAGTTTTGTTTTGTGTACTAATACACAGAATTCACAGCATGTGGGGTCATGAACACTGGTTTAAAATCCTGGATAATTAGAAACCCATTGACCAAAATGTGATCTGATCTATGTAAAGAGCATTTCAGCCTCATGTTGCCGCCATCTATATCTGTGTGTTTTATCAGTCTGTACTATATATATATATATATATATATATATATATATATATATATATATACACTGAGGTATTCTGTGATATTTCTGTGTTTTTGTATGTAACAGTCTGAGGGAGGCCCAAGCGCTGCTGTTGAGGAAGTCACACGGAGGTAGTGGAGACAAGATGGCCGCCCTTCTGATGAAGCACATTGAAAAGGAGAGGAAGAAACTCACCACTGTGACCTCCTCTTCCTCCTCCACCTCATCATCTTCAGTAAAAACCAGCGTGAATACTTTCCACACTCAGAAGGGCCAGTACACCGTCCGTGTCACTGCACCCACAGGTCAGCTTATTAGACAGTTTTCTTTGATTATGAACTTTATTAAATTAACTTTCAGTCACAAACGCAACAAGCTCGCTTAATCAAACAAACTGAATACGCTAGTTTGTCCCAAGCGTCCCTGGTTTTTAGCCTGGTCTGTATTTAATGTACAACCCCATTTCTACCAGGAAAAGAAAAATGTATGCAAGATAGAAATAAAATTACACTAGTCAAAAATGTAACATGAGTAAGTTTAAATTTTGACACACCAGTAATACAATTACATACAAGTAATTTGATTTGTATCGTGGCTAATATCTATATTTTCTCTGTTAGGGGGTGAAGTCAAAAACAGTCTATAGTACATATATGACATTTTTTGGTGAGTGGCCTCCTTACTGTATATACAATTTGGATTTTTGATTTCCGTCTATAATTCATGCGTGTTTAAATTGCAAAGATGGACAAATGTATTGATAAAATCTTTGCTTTCTTGTATACAATAACCAATGTTGGGAAGGTTACTTTGGAAATGTAATAGGTTACCGATTTACAAGTTACGCTTTTAAAATGTAATAGTAGTGTAACTATTTCAGTTACTTTATCAGCTGTTGTTCAATAGAACCAATCAGAAGCGTCAGGACAGCATCAAACTTCACTAAACAGCTGTGGCTGGAAACGGCAAAATAAGACAGTGTGTACATAAGAACATGCAAAGCAACAAAATGAATATTATTTGACATATAGTCGAGCTTTTTACAGAAAACACTCAGATGTAACCCCCAATGTAATCATAAACATTTACATAAGTAACTGTAATTTAATAATGTAAATAAAGTGCTTTACAAAAACAATACAATTAAAATACAAACAGTATAATAAAATTTAAATTGAAACACTGAAAAGTAAATACCACTATAGAAAGACACCAAAGATAAACGAACATTCAGGACTCATACGCAGCAGTGAATAAGTAGGTCTTCAGCTTTGATTTAAAAACCTCATTTGAACATGCCAGTCTAATATCTGCTGGAAGACTGTTCCATAATGTTGGAGCAGGAAAAGAAAAAGGCTCGCTCACCAACCGTTTTCTTCGGTTTTTCTTCCTCTACCGTGTAGGCACATTAGAATTCAAAAGATCAGACAGATATAATGGTGCAAGGCCGTTCACTGTTTTGTACGTTAACAACAAAACCTTAAAATCTGCTCTAACCTGAACAGGGAGCCGGTGCATGAATAAGGGTCTCAGCATCTTTAAGTGCCAATATTGATCTAATCTTGCGATTCTTCGGAGATGAAAGAAAGGCTACTTTTGTCATATCTTTAATATGCAAATCAAATGAAAGTGATCAATCAAAAACGACCCCGAGACTCTTTACTCTATCCTTGCAATGAATGACCAAATCATCAATAGATAGAGCAAACTGGTCTCGGTCTTGATTTGGTCTCAGCCCCTAAAAGTCTCGGTCTTGTCTCAGTCTCGATAAACTCTGGTCTTGGTCTTGACTTGGTCTTGGTTTGGGCGGCCTTGATTACAACACTACTGATGATGTTGGGCACTAATTAGGCTAGTTATAACCTTTTTATATACAGTCTATGGTTATAACCTGCTCAGGGATGTAAATTAGCTCTTAATCTAACTCTGGTACATTTACATTGAAGTCAGCGTTGATTAATGTGCATTGTTCCTGGTAAATAACTAAATAAATAAAATGTTCACGGATTAGAGTTACCTTTATTTTGTATTTTCGTGTCGTCGGCAGCTAAAGCGGTGAGACAGAAGAAAACAGGGATAAGATAAAGAAGGTTTGGCTTTGGATCGCTGGCCAGTTAACGTTAGCTGCCTTATGTTTTTCAACTTCTCATAAATCTATAAAGCGACTCAACCGACCAATCACAGCCTGGATGGGGGGGGGGGACGTTAAAAAAGTTTGACGTAGGCCTACTACAACAAATCATTAAATGTTGAACAATATTATTATTGTTATATATTCATATATTTTATATATATATATATATATATATATATATATTATAAGTTAATACTTAGCATTAACAAATTAGAGACAAATATAGATAATTTTGCTTGCACAAGGATTAAATAAATAAAAATAATCGACAGAAATGAAACCGCTGAAACTGGATTTAAAATTCAATTAATTTAATACACTGATTTACACTAGTTCCTCCTCCAGGTTGTGGATAGAGCCTGTGCAGTGGACAGATGTAGATTTAGATCCAGTGCGCACCCCTTGTTCTGTTTTACTAAAGTTACTGTTATAAATATTGTTTAATGTTTAACTTTGTTCAGGTTGAGAAGCACACATTTCAAAACGTCAGTATTTTGTGCATTTTCCTTGACAATCAAGCAAGTAGACTCATAGCACCATTTGTTCTAATCGAATCACAATATGACTTTTTCTCCAAATCGTGCAGCCGTAAACTTGACATATTAAAGTCATGAATAAATCTCAGGTAGGGGTATCTCAGCTTTTATTGTCCGTACCTTCTCTACTGTAAGTATCCGTCCTACATTCCTCCGTGACCAAAACTTGCTGTGTATTTACTGTGTTTAATGTTTATCTGGTTAAAGATACGAGAGCAGACGTTGTAATCGAGCTGTCTCATGTTTGGACAAGTTAACAGGGGCTCGCAGTGCATTTAACACGCATACCACAACACACGGGTCATTCTGTATAATAACTAGTGCTGTGAAGCTGATACGGTGGTGCTGAGGGACAAACGCTACACGTCTGTCAGACATATATTGTTATGGAAAAAAACAGGCTGATTTAATGGAGCTGGAATGCCTGTTTTTTGTTTTTTTACTGTGTGTGAACTTCAGATAAGGTGACTGTTCAGCTCAACCTTGATCACGGTGATTAGACCAGTAACAGTTCCTGTTATTGTCCAGCTGTGGAGAGAACGGACTGCGCTTCAGTATAAAAATCAGTTATTAATCATTTCTAATTTGTTTCTTTAAACCCCAAGTTAAAGCCTCCCCTGCTTCCTGGTCTCTGTTCCTCTAAATGGGACCATAATTTACTAAATGAACATCATGCTGTGTTGAAGAAGACTTGAAACTAGCGACTGAGACCAGAAACTCATCAGGAAAGTGTTTACTGAGGGAATAAATCAGCTGACAAGTAGAAACATTTTCTCACAGACTTCTAGACAATCACACTTGTTTCTGCAGCCGCTGGAGTCGCCCCCTTTAAAAACTCAACGCTGCTTCTTCAGGTTTAGTTTGGACTCTTGGGGACAGAAATGGGAACTGATTTAGGAAAAAGGCCGTTACAGATTAACAGTTCCTGAGTCAGTGATCCTTTCCTAACTTTAGCTGGATAACGTCTCATTATAAAACATAGTGTGAAGGCTTGATGGAACAAAAGGATCCTGATGCAGCTGTTTGATTGGAGGAGATCGTTAAATTCAAGAAATACATGAAAAACATGCTGACGTCAGCCCGCAGCCTTTATTATTAACTTTCCCGAGCAGAGTTGGGGTTTCTGCCGGGGTCAGTGAGGGAGGAGGAGCCACCGCCGCTGCTTTTCTCTTTATTAATATTTTGTTTTATTTTTGACAGCATCAGCGCTCCGCTGGATGCAGGATATGCGGCGGAGACTCCGGAGGTTACCAAAACCTCTCAGTCACCTGACTTGAAGTTCAGTGACAGTTGTGTGTATGTTTCATTAAAACACTACAAAAATCAGCGATTAAAAGCCGTTTAGCTCGGCGAGATGAGAAAAGTGGCATCGGTTGCTAGGTAACAGACATAAAAGTTGATAACCGCTGTCGGATGGACTGTTTAGGATTTCCTAACCTGAGATAGGATGAAGGGAGATAAGATGGAAGCCAGTGTAAGATCTGAGAACTGGACTGATGTTCTCTCCTGGTCTAAGTGAGGACCACGTTACAGTGATCGTTAGTTAATTTACGCCGACAATTATTTTATCGCACGCTAACGCAGTTGAGTTAAGAGAGAGTGTTTGTGTTGAGGTCAGAGTCCAGGACTAGGGCAACATTTCGGCCTGGTTTGTGGTTTTTAACGACTGAAGCTCTCGTTCGAGTCACCGGAGTGAAGCATTAACAAACACAGAGGCTTCTTGCAGGTGGAGTGTGTGTCATGGTGCTGCTGTAATAATGTGCTCACAGTTGTTGTGGTTCATGCTTCACACTGCTCACTGTGTGTCTGCAGTCGGTCGGGACATGAGCTCATAGACAAACAGCAGCAGAAACAACCGGCCTCTATTCCACCAAAACACCTCGCGGCCCTCTGCACAGCCGGGGCCCCTGAGGGGGAGTCTGGGGTCCCACAGGAAAACCACTTCAATCACACTGTTAGCTGTGATTCGTTTCCATTCAGCCACAGTTTGTGTTTTCACACAGCTCTCTTTCAGTGTATTACACATTGCAATAAGTGCATTCAACCGCGTGGATACAACCCAAGTACATCAATCTACTTCCTGGTTTATGTTTCATGCTCTGCAAACTAAAGCTAAAAGAAATCTTAAAGAGTGAAAGTCTGGCAGAAAATCAAAATAACTTCACAATAAAAGCCCCCCGTGTTGGTCTAGCAGCAGCGTAAGGAGGCTTTCACATCTGCCTCGTTTGGTTCGGACTTTCAGACTATTTAGTTTGATCTGAACCAAAATCACAGGTGTGAAACTAGAAATTAACTTTTTGGCTCACCTGCCAATGGGACTGGTAGATGGAAAAATCCACCGGCCAAACATATTTTTTACTGGCCAAAATAATAAATTGCCTTTTTATGTCACGTAAACATTTGTTTCAGTACTTTTAATTGAGATAATAAAGGTATTCTGTCAAATACAAAGTTAAAGAAGACACCAGAATGAATCTTAAAAGTACTTAAGACATAACAGTTAAATGTTTTATATACTTACAAGATGCTTATTAATCATTCAACTCAAATCTCCTTCTTAATATTTCTTTTTATGTTCTGCTTCAGCCTCATTTTTGTGAAATACTCTGTTTAGCAACACATCATCCGTCCTAAACCTGTCGCTCTGCTTTTCTTCTTCTTGTTTTATTTGGGGTGCCGTTGACTTCCCTTCACTGTCACAGAGCAGTTCTACATGCTGCCACCGGCTTTACCGGAGGGGGACGTAGGGTATAAATAAACGGCAGATTTAAGGGGAAATATTTTAAAGGGTGGACATCGGGAGAGAACGGTAAAATATGGGAGAAGCCCGGGGAAAACGGGAGGGTTGACAGGTATGCACATTACAGTGGTAGCTAGCTAGCTAAATGCTAAAAACAGTCCAGGTACTCGGAGTGCGATATGACTGCTCCTGACTCCAATCCCCTAATGCCCGCCCCCTTTACATATCTACGCCAATCAAACACAAGAAACCTGAAATAAACATAAACAACAACCAACGAACGCCCCTAATCTGTGTGTGACACGATTTTAGATCCCTCAGTACAGCGGGGACCAATTTCAGTGCGACTCACAACAAAAAACAATGCTGAACCAACGCTGTTAGCTACCGTCAAAAAGATATTATATGGCCATATCGTACCGAATACATTTACCTACGTTTACGGGTAGCCTTCCAACATTTAGCTGCCAAATGGAAAATCTACCCGCATTTGACGCTTGGCAGGTGTTAATTTCCAAATATTCCCCCGGAACCAAACAGACAAAATTTGGTCCCACCAAAAGTGGTAGTCTTGGTCCGGATCAAATGGAATCATTGTTCAGTTTGTTTCTAGTGTGAAATCATATTTTTTGGGATGGTTCTAACTTTCAGACCATTTACAGAAAGTGCCGGTGGTTCCCGAGAAAACTGGAAACAAACAAATACACCAAAAAATGCACTGGAATAAGGACACAATTAATCTCCCGTGACAGGTCATGTTTTAAAAACAGCGGCGGCCGGACCTTGGTTCAGACTTTCAGGTGTGAAAAGGCCCTTAATCCAGCTCTGATCCATCTATGTCAGTCCCTCCTGTGAAGGCGGACTCCGCCACTAACAATGAAATCTTCATAAAGACATAAAGAGCCTAAGTCACTTCTGCTTCCGGCCCATAGGACCTTATTTTGGAAAAAATATGTACAGTAGTCAACGGCGAGAAACGACTTATTTTTTTATCCTGTCTAGGTAAAAAGTCTAAATAAAGGTATCCAAACAAAAGAGTGAATCCAAGGAAACGGGGTAATCCTAAAACGGAGAACAAATAATAATCCACAAGGTAAATCCAGGAAACACAGAGAACAAGGCACAGCTGAACGCTCAACATAGACAAAGGACGTCACAAAAACTGAACAGCGCAAGCAAACATTTAAACACCAGGTAACGAGCAGGGCGGGAACATAAAACCGGTGGATCACATCAGGCACAGAGACAGGCAAGCAGGTGAAACCAAATGAGGGGAACAGACAGGACCAGACCAAAATGCAGAAACATAACTGACAAAGACAAAACACAGTCAAATAATAAATCCCCGGGCAGAGAACACAAATCATCACAAGGTAGACGGAAAACTAAATATTCCAAATGAACTACAATCAAACCAGAAACAGACTAACACTAGATTAAACAGAACGCAAAGCAGACAAGACCAACATTAAACCAACATTGAACAAGGAATAAATACAAAGATGCACAAATCCCAACAGATCCTGTTTGAACTGAGCCCTGATTAAACACAAACTGTATTGGGCAAGTTACTCAGAAATTGTAATATATTACTAGTTACTTAGTATTACTTTTAAGAGTAATATTACTTTACTTATTACTGGGTGATAAAGTAACTAGTTACGTTACTCGTTACGTTACTTTCCAGAGTTTCCTACAGAATTACAGCGGGGGGGTAAACTTTGTGCAGCGGTGTTCATGAGGGAGAAAGAGGGAGCGAGAGGAGGTGCAGCACGAATATATGCGCCTCAATCAAAGATGATTTTAAATACGCCTTGTAAAAAAATCAACGTGTGGCGGTCCGCTAATTATGGGAAACGCCGCTTTCACCACCACCACCCTTCATTCCCAAATGAACACCACCGGCTAAAATAAAAAATAAAGCAAGTAAATCCCGACTTTTAAACAGCGGTTTTACTGCACATGTAGCCTGTTTTATAAGAGCAGTGTTGAGTTGTTACTAAACTCCGAGCATCAGTGACAGCAGCTGCTGGAGTTTCTTTGTACAAGTTTCACGTTGCTGTGCTGCTTCAGCAGATAAATCGGATCAATAAATCAGATGTAGAAATGTTCACGGTTGAGAGTTTACAATGGATTATAATGTTCTTTGCATCTTAGACTGTGACACAATAATGGCAGCAGCTGCTTCCAGCTGTGGAAAGAACGCCTCTCTCCCTCGTTCGTTTGGCTCTCAGCGACATGAACAACAAAATCGGGTCCAGCTCGTGGATTCACGTCAACGATGGTGCGTTCAGTAACGAGTAACGCAGCGTTACTTGCATTAGTAACTAGTAATAATATTACTGTTTTAGAAAAGTAATTAGTTACACTACTAGTTACTGGAGAAAGTAATATTATTACAGTAACGCATTACTGCCCAACACTGGTCGTAAATCAGTAAAGTTACGCGTTGTTTTGTGTGAAAACCGTTCAATGTCTCATCTCTCGTCTTGCACAATATACGTCAACAACAAGTTAGCACGGTAATGCTAAGCTAACGTTCATTACTTGGTTGCTGCTAGCTAAATAACTTAGCTATGTTCGACGCAGAAATTTATCTTGCCTGATGTGTTTAATCCAGCGACTCAGTCATTTTATCCCATCATCCTCTCATGGAAGTTCTTTGACGTTAGCTTCAGTCACGTTAGCTTCAGTCACGTTAACTTCAGTGATTGAGAGAAAAGACTTCATATATGTGACTTTTGGGTTTGTGGTCTTTTGTAATTATGTATTTTCACAGTCTGATGCTTCAACAGTTTTACATCAAACTGCGACTTTCTTGACTTTTAAATGTACATTTTAAATTGACCAACATCTTGTGTGTAATTCAGAGCACAACAGGATCAAAAAATTAGCCGTTCCTTGCCGTTGACTACCGTACATATTTTTACTTTCCCATGGTGGTCCACCGGAAGGGGCGGGGCTTAGGCTCTCCTTACAACCGGCGGTGGTGCTGACTAGCTTCATTAGCAAGGAGAATCTGTAATTCACATCAAATGTGATAGTAACCGGGACGCTAAGCGACGAACAGGCTTAAAACAAAATCACCAATCAAATGAGCAGCTGACGCTGGTTAAATGTACACAGAGCAGCAGATACGAGTCGCCTCTATGTTGATTGACAGGTCGCCATGGTAGCCTCCCCTGCTTCCTGGTCTCTGTTCCTCTAAATGGGACCATAATTTACTAAATGAACATCATGCTGTGTTGAAGAAGACTTGAAACTAGAGACTGAGACCAGAAACTCATCAGGAAAGTGTTTACTTACACTTAATAAGAATAATAATAGTAATACATTTTATTTGTAATGCACAAACAAACCAAATCTCAAAGTGCTACGAGGTAAAAACATCAACATAAGACAGATTATAGAAGTTAAACACTAGTGGAACTCATCCGTTCTGCTAATTAGAAATGCTTTAAGTCCTCCAGCAGTTAGTTTGTGTTATTGTTTGCTGTTGTTTGTTTGAGATTTAACAACACAAGCATTAAAGTTTGACTTGATGAGAAAATGTTCATCAGACTGTTCTGTGCGGTCGCTGGGATGCAGAGCGTTGATCGTGGCGAGCAGCAGGTTTTCTTGGATTCCTGCGTTTTGAAGTCTGTCTCAGGCGTCTAACTCTTCTTTGCAGTCGGGAGCTTCTTTTAGCTTCAGCATGTTTCGTGAATGTCGACTCCCCCCTGAAACCCAAACCAGGGGTTGCATCATCATCCTGACATCCTCTCAACCGTCTGTAATGAAACTGTGTGCGGAGATACGAGCTCTCGGCTCACGCCAAGATGAAAAAAAAAAGAGCAGAAGAAAAGTAAGGAGAGAGGGAGAAACGCATACTGATACTCTCTCGCTCAGTGTGGACTGATGGACCAGTTCCCTGCTAAACATTTAGTTTGGAGCCGAGCCCAGTCCTGCACACTGCTTTCAATTATCTCTCTACCTCCCTCTCTCTCTCTCTCTCTGCTCAGACACACTGTCTCTCGCCCGCTCAGGAGTGTTTTTAGGGAACAGTCGAGTTCGGAGAGAGAGGGGGGGGGGGCGTCTGGTTGTTTTCTTCTTCCTTCCTTCCTTCCTATTTTTCCTGCGACACTCGTTTTCACTCCACCACAGAGTAAGAGAGAGAGAGAGAGAGAGAGGGAGGGGGACGAGCGAGGTAGGGTTAGAGCTAGAGGGGAGAGGTCTGGACGATGCAGAAACTCTGACTGCAACTCTCGAAATGCTGCAGCCTCGACTCTGCTGTTTTCTGTCGTCCGTCTTCGCCGTCTTCACCTCTTCTCTTCTGGCAGCAGATGGACAGGCGGCCACGGGAGGAGGAGGAAGAGGAGTGGAGAGGATCCAGGTGACGTTCACGCCGACCATCTGCAAGGTGCGCTGCAGCCAGGAGCGATGTGTCAACTACTGCGAGCGAGGCAACCTGACCACGCTTTACAGCGGCAGCGAGGGAGGAGGAGAAAGGAGACAGGGCTCCCACGGACCGGGCTTCAGAGTCTGTAAGTTCAGATTTGTGTTTTTATGTGTGGCGGAGACTCACCTGATCTCAGGTAGCCGGAGGTTTCCTGGTCGCTGACGAGCTACTCTCACTTCTGTCATGGTGTGGTTGCATGAAAACACCTGATTTACTTTCACACCTGAGAGTCTGCACCGGCGTTCATGTTTTGATGCAGTCTGTTAGCTTTGGTTTGGTTTTAGATTCAGCGCACTGAAGAACTTTACATGACAGACTTGCATCCTGGCGTCTCCCTGTACTTGACATTGATTGGTTTGCAAACAGACGTTCATCTAACTTCAGCTTGTTGTCAGTTTGGCGGGAAGCTCTGACAGGAATGTCATGTCCAAAATGGACTGGTTCCAAACTGCTTCAGTCGGTTTACTGTTGAACTTAAACACTACTGCACTTAAAAACTAAAGAAAAAGCTCCAATATTCTGGAATAGCTGAATTTAATTTGAGCTTCTTTGTTGTTGTAATGAACTTTGCATCAGTAAAACTTGATAGACAAGAATAAATGAATGAGGAATGACTACCAAGCTACTTTCCTGATCACAGAGGCTGCCGTCAGCTCGTCCTGACCGATCCTGTCGGGAGGTTCACGCGTAAACGCACTTCGCTATTAATCAGAAGGTTCATTTCTGTGACAAAGACCCACAGATATAACTCTGCACATCACTAGAACCCACCTCTGCAGCACACAAGAGTAGCGTAAAGCTCTACAATTCACAGAAGTAAGTAAGTTAAGTGTCTTGCTCAGGGACACGTTGGTTTCTCACAGTGGATTCGAACCCGGGTCTCTCACAACAAAGGCCTGTGTCTTATCCACTGCACCATCACCACCGGTTCGGAGATGATCCGACCCAGTCGTTTAACCTCTGAACATTCAAGCGGCCCGTCAGGTCCTGGCAGCAGCTTTCTGTCTGTGCACACAGCTGCTACGTTTACTCCCCCGTCTGAAAGCCAAAATCCTCGTGACTGGACCATTTCAAGATACAGTCACCACAGCGGGTCCAATCAGCGCCTCTGTCAGAGCAGCCAGTACTAAATACTAATACAGTACTTAATCCACCGATCGATTATAGTCCAACATAAACGGTCTTTGATCCAATCCAGTAAAAACATTTAGTCCAAAACACATGATTCCATCAGTAAATCCTCAGGGACGGCAGCCGCATCGCTTCAGACGCGGCTCGTTTGTCATTATAACCAGAATAACTCTGATCTGAATGTAAACGGCTACGATAGCTTGTATTCAAATTAGCCGCTGAACTCTTGACAGCTGATCCGACCCAACAGGAGCTCACGTGTCCCTTTCACAGCCTACAGCAGCCAATGAGAGCCCGCGCTGTGAGGAAGGGCCGGCCAATGTTATTTCCTGCGTAGGCCGAGCCAATTGCAACCAGCTGTGCCGATGACTGGCGCTTCCTGGAGCCAATAAACATCCAGCTTTAAGTAGGAAGTTCATGATCTACCAGCGAAAACACACGACGCAGCAGCAGCCGCCTGCCGCCAAGGGGCGGGGCTGTTTTAGAAAAAATACGCTAAGACACACACTCATGGTATGAAATGTAAACTTGTTCGAGGTAAGTTGAGGCTTTATGCTGCGGCCCTACAGTGTTTCCCAGCTGTAGTTGTCTGCAGGCATTTGTTAGCAAACATTTTCAAGCGGAAATGATAAATCTAATAGTTTTAATGTGTTTAAACTCATATTAATCAGTTCCAGTAGCTCTTACAGTCATTCTGACTTTGGGGTCAGACACTCAAGAGTGTCTCTTTCAGAGACGCCCAAAACCCGGCAGATACTCCAGATGGTTTAAGAACTGTTGTAGATCTGTAATCGATGCTCTGTTGATGCTTGTATGTTGTTCCTCAAATGTAAGTTGCTTTGGATAAAAGCGTCTGCCACATGAGGAAATGTAAACCACATTCAGTTAACTTTGGATCTGCCTTGAGTCGGCGTTTAGCATGAATCTTACAGGAATGTTAAGAGGTCACAGTTTGGTTCCTTGTCAAAGGCTGCGATCAGACGGCAGCCAAAGTGACCCAAATACGATTTTTTCGCCCACATGTGACTCAGATCTGATGTTTTTATGACCGTGTGAACAGGCCAAGTCACATGGAATCAGTTTGGAACTGTGCCGCTTCCATATGTGGTCCGAATCTGATACAGATCAGATCTTTTTAAAATGCGACCTCAGTCTGGACACTCGGGTCGAATTTGATGCGACTTCGACGTCACTGCAGAGCAGCTGTTCTGCTGCAGAAGGAGCCGCGCTGAATGAAGAAGCTCCACAAAAAGCCATAATCAAACATGTGTCTCTCTTCCTCCTCCACCTCGCTGTCATCTGCTCACATCTGCTACATGTCCGAGCGGACACAGTGGCGGGGGGGGGGGGGTTGTACAGCGCCAGAAACTGTAATGAAAAGAACAGAAAGTTGTGAAGAAATGTGACCCGTGAGAGGACGATGAAGCTAACCGGAGCTGTGCTGCTCCTTCTTTACTTCTGCAGCCTGAAACAGCTGCTGCTGCTGCTGCTGCTGCTGCGGCTGCTGCTGCTGCTGCTGCGGCGTGACGTCCTGTTATTATTCTGCGCCTGCGGGTCACTTTCAGGCCGCGGACAGTTCACACCGGAGTCTGATATGGGCCTCATTAAATGTGAACTGTCAAACAAACAAATCGGATCTGGGGAAAAAAATCGGAATTGAGCGTTAAGGCCTGCCGTCTGAACGCAGCCTTTGTCTCTCAAATCCTCACGCTGCCCATTTTTCCTGCTTCTAACGCATCAACTGTGAGGACACGATCTCCACCTGCTGCCCGATGGATCCCACCCACTGACGGGTGCCATGGTAACGAGATAATCAGTGTTCTTCGCTTCATAATGCTCCTGCACAGTGAGGGTTGATGGCATTAAAGCTCGATTTATAATCTCTGCCGTCCTTTTTATCCCGGCGCCGAGTGTGACAGGAGAAATGAGGAGACTTTAGGGGCATAAAACGCCATAAAATAGGAATAAAATACAAGAAGAGTCAATGAAAATGACACAAAAGCAAGTCTGAACAAGTCTTGAGCTACTTTTTTAAAGGTGTCCACAGATCTGAAGTCCAAAGGGAGACGGTTCCAAGGTTCCCTGGATCGAGGAACAACCAGCAGACCCTGATCGGAGTAACTCGGAGACCTGCTGGGGACACAGGGCTGCAGGAGATCTCTAATGTGGGCAGCTGTCTGACCCTGCAGGCCTTCATACGTGATCTCAAGAACCTGGAACTGGATTCTGAATTTGACGAGGAAGAGAAATTAAGGTCAGTTTCACATGAGACCTTTCGGAGGCCCCGGTCTACAGATCTGCAGCAGCGTTTTGGACCTCTTGCGCAGACTTGTTTACTTCTCAGATACAGGACCACAAGGATCCGTGTTTCCTGCTCGGACGCCAACAACGTGTACCGAGCAAAGGAAAGAGAAGGGAAACTGTCCTGTACTCGGCTAACAACAGAAGTAGGGCTGCAGCTAACGATTATTTTCTTTGTAGATAAATCCTCAGTAAAATCTGCTGAAACTACATTTCTATCCCATGCAGAAGCAGGTAACAGCCTTTCAATGTCTTTAACTCTCTTGTTAACCCTCGCAAATCAGACTGTGTTGTGCCATCTACAAATTTATGTGAAAACTTCCTGAAATATTTTATTGACAAAATTGCCGGTCTGAGCTTTTCACCCACTACATTTCCCAGGGACCCCTCTGTCCCCCTGTCTGCCCAGCTGTCTTCCCGCAGTATTCCTGCACATTTTTTTAAACTTGAGCGTTGTCTCCTCGGTCAGTACATCTCTCAGCTCCGGGTGTGATACTTCCAGCCTCTCTAATTTTAGCTCCATCTCTAAGCTCCCCTTTTTGTCAAAAGTCTTGGAGAGAGTGGTTTTTAATCAACGTCAATTTCAGAGGATTTTAGTATTTATGAAAAACTGCCTGTCTGGATTGAAGCCCCTGAAACTGAAACTGCCCTTTGAAGAGTTTTATTGATCTTCTTTTAGCTGTTGACTCTGGAAAATCTGCTGTTTTGGTGCTTTTAGATGAATCGGTTAGTTTGTGTTATTGTGTGAATTTGTTTGTTTGTTTGTTTTTGTCAGTTCAGAATATATTCATGAGGCTGTGATGGAGCGCGTCGATCGTGGTGAGCAGAAGGTTTGCTTAGATGTTTGTGTCTTCGCTCTCGGTCGTCTCCTCCAACATCAAGACCAATCGCAGCTCACGTAGTCTACATGTGACGTCCGGTTTCCACCAGAATACTAACAACTCACTCTGGATAAATCTCAACAAATATGCGTTTACATGTGTGACGTGTGAAGCTGCTCCAGCTGTGTCATGTGACCTGCAGCTGCGCGATGGTTGGCCGAGCTCGGGCGTCTGAAGCGGCGCCAGCGAATAGTTGTGCCGCCAGAACTGATCCCGGGTCAGTGTCCTCAAATCATCCGTCAGATCTTTTGATTGATCTCCTTCCTTCCAACTGGTTTCACTCTTCATTTCCAGAAATATCCGTCTGATGGACGACCCTCTCTCTGTTTTCTGTTGGAGTTAAATTTTAGTTTCCGTCCACCTGTGTTCTGCACATTTCCACCCTGACGTGACTCACTGGGTCCAGTAGAAAGTCCAGGAGTATCAGTATGTGTGTGTGGAGCTGCAGGAAGTCTCTACTGAGCGTGCTCTATAGACTCAGACAGACTTTTTATTGTCATTCAACTGCACATACACAAAGGACATTGGAGCGAGATTTCGTTGCAAGGCTCCGAATAAAAACAGAAGACAAGTAAAAGAAAAACGGTATAAATATAATTATATAAAAAATACATATTATAAATATAAAAAAGAATAAAAATATTATAAAAGAAACAGAAAATTTGTCAGGAATTTAGCAGCAAACAGAAAAATGACATGTAAGACAGAATGAATAGTGCAAATCTGGGCTCTACATGTGACCATTTTGCTCGCATGTGCACCTAAAAATTTA